CTTCCAAGCATCATGACAGTGGCCTGAGGATTAGTACCAGGCGAGTAGTTGAACGTGGATCCGTCGATAACCCTTAGAGCATCCACACCGAGAACCTTATAGTCAAGATCAACAACCCTACCAACTTGGCAGCCTCCATGATAGTGCCATATAGTCATCACGGTGTCCTTGCAATATACCTCCAGTGGCATCGAGGGATTGTAGTGTTTAGGCAACAAATTCAATGGGGCACCTGCTGTCATATTAAGAAGTATTGGCCAAGACATGTAGTCATATCTGAACTTAGAGAAAGGCTTTGATTCAACAATTTTCTGTATTGTTTGAATTCCTTGTACACATCTTTGCAGATCTTGAGGATCCTTGAAGTAATTGAAGGTAACGGATGGATTATCGTTTAGATTACGGGTTCGAAGCTCCAAATGCCCCGTTGAAATTGGACCCATAATTTTTTCTAGGATAAATCCACCTCTAAAAGCTGGCTCGTCTTCATTACTCGGGTATTCAACAGCTTTGGCTATGGCTTCTGGGGTCCTTTGTTTTGGTGGCACCGTTGATAGCTGACCAATCTGCATTGTGAACAAAATAAATGCACTACCAAATTTCAATAAAAAGAAAGAAAAATGCCAGCTTCCTCGGACAGGCCCAGGCTAGATTAGAGGCTTGGGGTAGTTTCATTTGGGCAAACGTTTATGCTTTAGGGGCTCAATAAAGCAAGGCTTAAAAGGAATTATTATACCTTAGGGGAGAACATCCTGTAATCTGTTGGAGAAGCAGCACCACCAGCAAAGTTTTCTCCACTAGCGGCTTCAATGTAGGATCCAAAATGGGTAATGCCAACGACTTGGATAAGCGAAACCTCAACTGGAAGAGGAGAAGGGACAAAAACGGCGTTCATGGGGTTATCAGACATGCCTTGGCCAACCAGGGGTTGGTCTAGCACCACAGTGATGTTGTGGGCCTTGAGATGGGCTGCAGGCCCCACTCCGCTCAGCATTAAAAGCTGTGGGCTTCCCAGTGCTCCGGCAGATACAATGATCTCATTTTTGGACCCTTTCTTCAGATATGCTTTGTGCTTGGCCCCTGATGCATCTCTGAATATCACTCCATGGGCCTTTGGCCTTTTATTCCCTGCTTTTGAAATGGGTTGTTGTTATTTACGTATGAGTTACTATCTGCTAAAGTTCAGAATTTGAGCTAAGTTATTAGTTAATGCACCTTTGATTGCAAACAAGATTTTGTGAACGGAAGCGTGCAAAAGGACAGTGAGCCCACTGGGGTTAGCATACTCCAACAAATCAGCAGCTGTGTGTCGAATCCCTTGCTGATCAAATATGGTTCCACCAACTTTGGTCCCAAAGATATGGTCATAAGTGAACCCATTGAAAGGCAGCACCCCAGCTTCTATTAGACCATCCCTCACGGCTGACTGCCATTGCCCCATCGGTGGCTCAAATGCCACTAATTTCTCCGCCCACTGGTACGATTCATTCACTAACCGTCCATCCCAACCCGCTTGCCTAGTAGTAATTAACAATAACAACACAAGAAGTCATTTTCAATCAAATTTAAATCCCTGAATTTTCACATGCCAAATTTATCACGGGACGGTACATAGTCTTGGGTCAGTTGGACTTTTCCCGTAATTAATATATGCATGATTTTTTTGACGTCAGCCATCGTCAACGAAAAAAACCTATGGGAAAGTTTCAGCAGTTTCTCTATAATTGGTATACCTGACGTATTCAGTGCCAGCGCGTGTATAAAACCCTGCATTCAGACAACTTCCGCCACCCAAGACACGAGCGCGAGCATTAATCACGCCGTCTTCTGAGATGAACCGTTGAGAAGGGGACGACGGGGAAAGGTCGGAGAGGGCAGCACCGAAGCTGGCCATGTTGGAGATGTTGGGATTACCATAAGGGGAGCCACCTCGTTCAAGGAGCAAGACGGTTGCATTTTGAGATAACGTGGCAGCCAAAGGGCATCCGGCGGTGCCACCACCGACAATAATGTAGTCGTAATATGATAAGGATGGAGCTGACGTTGCATTGTGCATGAAGGAGTAGTTCGGAGCTGTTCGGATAGAGACACACTGATAGATAAGTCTCACGTTTATGCATGAAAATCATAGTATTTGTAAAACTACTATATTTCTTAGTGTTAACCCATTGTAAAAAACCCATGTTTCTTTCACTTCAAAGTGCATTAATTGAAGAAGAAAATGGGATGAGCAAAAGACGTGAAAATAGATGTGTCTGATATTAATATTATAAAATTATGGACCTACTGGGTAGGTGTTGTAATTTATAAAGAAGATTGAGCAGATTACTAGTAGTAATAATCATTGTGTGGATTCCAGCGAAGAAGATCACTTATTTAGTCTTGAAATTAAAGCACAACCGTCAAGGCGGCATTAATTTGGCCTAAGTTTCAGTAACAATAAATGAAAGGGGTCCGTGATGCAAACTTAAGACAAATACCTCTACGTTTGTTGTCAGAATTATATACACTTATAATTTGGTTATTAGTAGGTATGTCTAGTTCTAGCTACTAAGAATACCCTATGAAGCTTCATTAATGGCACAATCAAGAAGTGTTTGCTCGAAAATGATTGTTGATTTGGCGGCCAAAACTGAGCTTTGTATCTGTTCTCAACACTGGAAAAAGTTGACTGCTAAATAATTGGATCCATCTGACCCATGACTGATTAAAAAAGCATTAGATTAGGCATGTAATCGTGATTAATTAGCATTAATATTAGCTACTATTAGAATACATAGCCTTCTTAATTATGATTAGGACTTGTTTTTACTCTGAAGTGAAAGAACAATAGCTGCAAACCAGAAAGGAGATCAAATACAGAGTCTGGTCCAATCTGATTTCATGTAAAATGGTCTCAAACCCATATACGAAATTTAAGAAACAGTACTACTATATTACTGAAATACGGATTGGTAATAGTTAGAAAAGACGGTAAAAGAAATAAGAAAATTGCAGTACCTTTTCCAGAGGCAGAAAAGCCATGAAAGAAGAGAATTCCGGCCAAGGCAGCGCCCACAAGCTTCCACCACCCAAGACTCATCGTCCCAGATGAGAGCTGAAAGACAAAAGACTTCGTGGAAAATGATGGGTTGCTGAACGTATACCAATGAAAAACAACCTGTGTCTTGCCTCTTATATATAAAAACTTTAAGGCCAGCAACAATCTCTACGGGGAGATAGGTTGTGGGAACAAAGATTCTTGCTTGGTTTTATCGGTCACACAAGCCAAACAAACCGAGTTGAACATCCAATCTTGTAGGGAACAGCTTCAGAAAAGTTCAAGAAATGCACAGAATGTGATTCCCAGGACCTGATCCAGCAAGCCAAATTTGTAAGACAGATAAATTTAACTAGTTCTACTTGTTTTTGGCCCGGAAAAAGAGAAAGCTATATTAGGAAATGAAACTCGGAATACCCATTCAGGTGGGCTGATATATATTAATGTAGTAATACTTCCATCTACTAGAATTCCTTTGATTGCTATATACATGCACTATGGAAGATGCACAGACAGACAAGTGGGGAGAGGTGGCAGTTGGGAGGGGTTTAATGCAACAAATGGCTAACAGCTGCAAATATGAAATACCCAATGTTTTAGGCGAAGAAAAGTAGTTACTTAAGTAAAAAACAATAATGTAACGCATTTTTTTACTTGTATATCTTGTTTTCAATTTGTTTCTGATATATAGTTGAGATTCCAAAAAAGAATATTTAACTAAAAGCCTCTTGAGGTAAGATGTAATAATGGTTGGGAAAGTACCTCTCTCTCTCTCTCTCTCTCTCTCTCTCTCTATATATATATATATATATATTGGGTTTTGTTATTGAATTGGTACCACATGAGATTTCGATCCAAAATTCATCATCTGAATAATGCCTTTGGTATTTTGCTTGATACCTCGGCTTTTTCACTTCTTTAAAGACCATTGAGTTTGCAGTCTAACTAACAAAAAGTACAATTTGATCAATTTACATATACTTTAATGGCTAATAACTATATTGTACAGTGAACACTTAGCTATATGCTAATTTCTTATTAATTCATTTTTTGCCTTTTTTTTGGGGTACAAAAAGGGATATTATGACTTGGGTTTAAGATTTTCCTTCTTTTTTTTTCAAATTTTATCTTACTTCTTACCTCTTGAATTAAGTCCAAATAATATTTTCTTTTAAAATAAAAAAAAATCAGCAGCTGGGCACACGTAATTGATTGCTGCAGCTCTTATCCATGTGAGGTATTTAAAGTTCAAATTTCTTCGTAATACTATAAAAAAATGAAAATAAATTTGATTTATGGATATATCAAGAGCAAAAGAGATGATCTAGAAGGATTCTACAGTGAATACTAAATTTGTAGGCCATTAAATAGAGGAGTATCTGAAAAGCACTTGGCAAAATAAATATCATTCAAAGGCTTCAACTCAAGGGTTTTAGTGAAGATGAAAATAATTGCTAAATAATGATGTAATAGAGGAAAGGTAATATTTAAATCCAACAAACTGTGTATGCACTTAATGCCCACCAAGCAAAACTTCAAAGTTAGTCTTTTGTTTTGCTAGGACCCAAACAAAACCCTCCACAATTTCTAGATTAATTACGTAGCTTATTTTGGTAGCTCTCATTTACCGCTTTCGGTTGGTTCAATCCATAGTCCATACATAGAGCTAGTATTGATTGTTGCTGGACTCGCAAATGCCAATTTCAAAACATTTTAACTAGTGTGGCACATTTTTAAGCTGCTGATCGCTAAGAGGCTTCGTTCATATAAACAAGCAAGATCTTTAGAATAAATCCAATTCATCCACTGGCCTCTTCTTTTCTTTTTTCAATTTTGATGAAGAGATCGTCCATTTCATAAGCCAATTCATTACAGATTTTACATAATCTGGTTGATCTGTTCTGATCTGGTGGCAGGAAAATTATATTCCAACGAGACGAAAATATGAGGGAAGCAATAATGATCAGAGTAACAACTTAGCAGCTTTAATTTTGAGCCCTCAATAGGAGGGAGCTAGGATTTTATTGGCTTACAATTATAGAGAGGATAATCAATGACCAAGTTTCTTACAATACACAGCATTGACATGACAAATACATATAATAAAAAATTAATTGATCAGGAGAAAAAAAGAAGAAGGAAGGATTGAATTGGAAAGGGAAAAATGATTTTTTTTTTTTTTGGAATCGATCAATACAAAGAGTTGTAGGTGAAGCATGTCGCAACAATAGAGGAGACGCATATTATTAGTGAAGGAAGTAGAGTAATATTCAAAAGCTTACTCTCACCCAAGTACCCAGCCAGTGTTATGGTGGCATCTGCAATGACTCGAGCAATGGTCCCAGCTTCTGTTGAAAGCAGTCCTCCGTTGTAGGTTCCACGGGAAAGCCTAGATGACATTACCCGAGAAAGCAGCGACAAGTTGACACCTGGAAGGCAAGAACAATTGAAGAAGAAAACCAAGATCAATAAAGAAATTCAGCATCACTATTTTATGGTGCAATGGTGAAAAGGACCCCAAGGCTTTCCTTTTCAGAATGAAAGAAAGGTGAAAACTAAACAAGATGCACAATCGTTCATAGAAGGTGGAAAGGAGACCAAGTCCATCCTTCACTCACTTCCATGAGTAGAAGTGCAGGCACACCAAACCTTTGTGCACCATACCTATCTCAGAATATTAACTATTATTCCCATGAGAAAACCGAGTTAAAAGGTCTCTACCTTCAAGTACTTCGGCAGAAACAAACATGATGAGCCCTGAGCAGACATACTGTGGCACAGTGTATGGTAATATGACATGGAAGCTTAGCAGTATGCCTACGCAAACCATAATTTCAGATGCCAACAAAATTTGCCTGCAATGAAACATTGAAAATGGATGCCTCAGACAAATAATTCCAGAGCTCAAGATCAACAAAAACCAAGTTATGTAAAATAAATTAAAAGCCGAAAGTGTGCAGGCTCTTAAACAATGACCTGTCTTCAAACATGTTGCTAATGTAGCTCCCAACAACAATGTTTACTGGAAGAACTGTTAAGCCAAGACAAGCAAGAAAGATGGCAACTGTGCTTGTAGACCAGCTGAAGTAGTATGTGGTGATGACACTAGATTCTGAAAGTAAAATTTCCATAGCATACTTGAGCATGAAATATATCAACAACTGAACCTGATGATATTAGAAGAATTTTTGTCAGCAAACATTTGGATATTAATAGTACTTAAGCTTCACACAGTTGTATTACAGAAATTTATTCTTAAAATTGCTTAACATCTAAGCTCATTTTCTTGGCCTAAATATATATACAAATCAAAGAAGTAGATAATCAGCAATGATATTTGTTAACCACTGACAGTCCAATGGTTGCATATCCTTTAACAAGACATATAAAAACATAAATATCTTGCACATATTAACGTATGCAATATAATCAATATAGATTATCAGTTTAAAAGATGCAACTTACAGATACCCTTCAGCATTTTTCTTACTTCAAATAAATTTATAAATTTGGTTCTGAAATAATGTACTATGTCACTGGAAAATTGTCAGCATTGGCTCAATATATGTTTTGAAAGTTGTTCTTCTGCCTTAACATGATATAATTGATTTGTGAGTCAGAAAGATCCAAGGAGATGATATTCATTTTAAATTCTAAAGACAAACTGGCAGTGAAGTTATAAGAGACTAGTATTTTATTTTTAAACCCCAAAATTGTCACTTCCACACATCTCCTTCTCTTTCCTAACTCAAGATACTAAAATTCTGTTTTATCCATGCCTAGTAATTTCATGTTACAGATGACTTCAGATGCACAATTGACCAATCCATTAACTTTCGAAGCTCAAGCCATCTTTGGATTAATCATATACCTTTACTGAGGGTGTAAGTAGTCTATAAGCTGACACAATTGATGTAGCTGGTTGACGACATTCTTCAGAAGCCTCTTCACTTCCATCACCTTCTTGGTCTTCGTCATCACCTTGCTTGTCTTCAGAAGTAATGAGCAATGGTTGTTTCAGACCTTTCTCAAGTGCATCGTTTTCTGCTGGTTCTGTCATGCAAATCAATTATTCAAATGCATTGCTTAAGATGTTAATTTATGATATAAAACAATCACCATGGGGAGAAGTAAAAAGGATAGAGGTTCAAATAAATTTTTGAGTATTTAAAAATAAACGTACTGCAAAACACCCTGATCGTTGACAAAGACATAATTGCATGCATAGAACTATCGAGCCAAAAGATCATTGATAGAAGTCAACTCACCAGAATTAGATGCATGAGGTGAAGGCCTCTCTTCAACATCATGAGACGGTTCTTTAAACGAGATCCACAACCACATTAGATATACAAGCCAAGCTACAGCCATGACCCATCCAGGCAAAGTGTCTTGATTGAAAGTAAACTTGTAAATCTTGAAATTGGTCTGAAGTATGCCACCAAGAGCGGGACCACAAGCCATTCCCAAAGCACTGGCACTAACAAAACCAGCCGATGCCTGCATGCGGATCTTTAATGGAACGCAATCACTGATATACCGACGGTTAACAGCTCTTGCAGAACCTAATCTGCAATAAATAAATTGTCAAGCTACATGATGAAATAAAAAAGATACTATATTTCTCCTAGATTCATCAACTGATAACATTTGTTGGTTAAAGTTCATTTTGGGACCTCAAATCATATTAATATCTGATCGTACTCTTTACATATATCCGAATAAGCTTCAAGTTTGATGTTCAAATATTAAATAGCATCCAAGAAGAAAAAGGTGTATTTATTAAGAGTTTCACTATATTGCAGTCTACATTGATAAAAATAAGCTTCAAATTGATGCCTAAACAATGACTTTGCTACTTCAGTCACCACAGGGCTACCAGTTCTAATGTGAGGAAAAGAAGATAAGAGGAAGATTACTTACCCACAAAAAAGACGACCCAATAGAAGAACCATTAATGAGTTCATATCATAGGCCAGCGCATACATGGCATTTCCCACAAAAAGGACAATACTGCTAAATATGAGAGGTCTGAAGTAAGATCTATTAGACCATGCGCTAAAATACACTGAAGAAAACACCTGCGCTACGGCCATTGCCCCAATAACAACACCACAAACTGTTGCAGCAGCCCCAAGACTCATGGAATAGTCATCTGCTGTGGGGACGATAATATATGTATTGACCATATAAAGGAATGTGTTTGCTAAGTTCAAGAGGAGTGACATAAAATGGTATCTCTCTTCATCAATGTGTTCCTCGGTAGGAGCAGGTAGCTCTTCTTGCATAATGAGAGCATGTTGTGCCAGAAAGTTTAGGAAGTTTGTTGAGTAAGATAACCTATCCACAGCTGCTTTTATCAATTCAACTACAGGATCCTGCGGATGACCCCAGTAAATAACATAGCATAGCCATAGCCTTATTATCATAAAATATCTTGGAGAGGAAGTAGGATGAACAATTAGCACAATTATATATAAGATAAAACCTGGAGAGGAAGAGCAGGTGGATCATATATTGATAAGTAGCTTCCTTGACGGTCCTGAAGTTCATGAAGATTGCGAGATACTGCCCCAACAACAGCCCCTAAACCCTGCAAATTACATAACAGAGGGTAAGCTTCCTGGGTAGCAACCAACATTACTTTTGCATACCCCATCATACATGTTTACAATCTCGTCCAAAATGAGCAACAGCTCAATAGCAAAACCCTGTCTACAAGCCTTATTAAAGATAGAAATGGCTAAGAGGAAAAGCAAAGCTTGTCTGACTTTGACACATTACCACGTGCTTGAACACCTGCTGCAGCTGAGAGTAAGGATGATTAGCACGAGTTTTGACATAGTAATCAGTGAATCTATAGCCAAACCGTTTATCAAACTTTTTCAATATCTTTCGCAAACCAATAGCATTCATTTCCACAAAATAAAGAAGCTTCAAAAGATCTTGTCCCACTGCTCTATATGCCTCTCTTAGTTCAGCTATTTGGGAAAATTCTGGCTGCTCTTCAAGAGCATCATGCTGTTCTCTAAGTTTTGTCAACCTGCTTGCAAGTAGTCCTTGTTGCTCCAACAGAAAAAGGACAATCTTCTCAATCTGAAATATGTTACCCGACAAAAGTATGTGAGACACATCACATTTGGGAAAACCATATTTCATGATGCTATCTCATGGTGGTAAGACATGCAAGAAGTTCCCACTATCCTGGCATGTTGACTGAGAGAGTGTGCAAAAGGTGCAAATATAAACAAGTTTGCAAACACACAAAATGCACTCAACCAACAAGGTTCATTGACATGGTAAAATATTCTAATATTCTCTGAGACAATCAAAACTTTATGACCAGTTGATATAATTTCTCTCAACACACAGTATTGTACTTCCTGTGGGTCACAACTCATCTCATTTCTCATAAGAAGCATTTTAAAACACTTTTTAGCAGTTAACAGAGGCACTAAAATTTGGTTCAACAAACTAGCAGCAAAAGACAGAGATAGTATGAATATTAAATTACAGAAATCTCCTCATGAACAAATTTACATTCTTTTCTTACTCCTATACTGTCAAAATGACACTTTTCCCCTTAACGTGCCATGAATGGTGAAAGGAAATGCATATGGAAAGAAGCAACACTAAATAAAATCTGAATCTATGAAAAATAAGGGGAAAGAAAATAGATTTCCAAAGTACAATATTATCATATAAGTATGTTTATAACAGTCTTTCCACAATAACCCTATTATTCACACTTTTGGTCTTAGGATTCAATGAAAAACAGAAGCAAATACTTTTAGGTGCATTTCCACAGTACCTGATTATCCAGCATTCTTGAGAAATCCTTGAGAACATGTCGGCGATCTAGTGTCCCCACTTCAATTTGATGAGCATACTGTTTCACTCTCTTCTTCATTAATTTGTAGTTTATGTAATATCTGTAAAAGATCAAATTAAAATATTTCACAGTGACAACATTCAACGTTTGCCAACATATAAAACAACCTCTCTCACAAGTCTCTATTGTCTGATTTGCATCATGGAGAAAAACTGTATGAGATTAATCTTGAATGAAGAAACAAATTGTTATATCATATACATATAGAAACATGTATATTCTTAATGATCATATAAGATTGCTAATGGCAAACAAGTACTATATAGTATCAGATAGGGTAACAATTAGTTTTAATATATATGTTTATTAAAATGCATCTAACAGCTGTTTGCACAATCAAAAAGCATATGGCGTAAATAGGGCAAAACTATCTATTTCTTTTTATTTTTTGAGAAAAAAATTAAAACAGGATAGAACTATCAAAACACACAATACATAGAAAACAATGCCCTGAAACATTCAAGGAATTTCCAAGATGCCAATTTAAGAAATATACACAAGAATAATAATATATGTAACATACCCTTGCCATTCTTGAATTTGTCTTTCCTTCAACTTCTTCCCAAAAGCAACCATCTCTCACTACCTATAAATGTAGAATAATATCAGTGCATGACAAAATGCTGCAAGAAAAATTATACCACATTTGCATTCTTTGATAAATAAGACAAAAAACATGCAAATAAGTGTAAGAGTTATCACTGAACCAGCAGCCTGTCTGGAAATGGCTTTGAAAATTTGTCCCCTAAAGGCAGGCTTAACACTAAAACTTCAAAACCTTTCAAGCATTTTCATAGTGTGTAATTAAATTTTCTCAATGTGGACATGCCAAGTTTAGTGAAAAATGTATCAACCATGAAACAAACATCAGCTAAATTTACAAAAATCCATAAATTATAATCATCCTCTGAAGTTAGATAGTTCAAGGGTTCAAACTGCTGGATTTTCATTCTCCGCAAGCGGTATGAAATTGAAAAATCAAATAAAGAGGACAAGTGACGCATCTTCTCTACTAAATTTAAGTAGACCCATCTACTTCTGATATTGAGAGGTTAGCTAGACTATACACCGGGACAATTATTCACAATGGACAGTCTACTCGAGTATGGTAACATGGTCATGACCAGCACAACTGTGCAGATATTGCACTCATTAAAATTCCATTCGAACTAAAGCAAGTTCACAGCAAAAAGAGTGCATTGATCCTAGGGCTTTTAGCATTCCAGTAAAAAAAGCAAAAAAAAAAAAGGAAATATGCTTTTCTTTTCTTTTCTTTTTGGCATTTCAAACCCCACATTACATCCATTGCCCCAAAAGAAAAATGAAAATCATACATAATATGGACCACAACTTTTCAACACAATTCAAAGCAATATAGAGCACTAGTATAGTATTAAATCAAATCTAAATACGTCATTGCCTTGTCAGATTAGACAAAGACCGGGGGCAGTTTAGTTGCCGATTCATGAAAATCAGTTTTTCCATTTACTCAAACTTTTCAAAGTTACTGTATCAAAATATATCTTCGCTTCTACGATTGATCACTGAACTATCACTGTATCACACGCACGGAAAAGTCACCCGAAATAGACCTAGTCAAAGAATTTACGCGGTAGTTATTGACTCAAAAACAAATGCTAAGTCTAATATTCAACGCAGCTTTTTGATTACAGAGTTAAAAACGAGCTTTCTTAATTGAAAGTGTAACAATAAATCTGCAATAATTAACTAAGGAACACTTCTAATGATGTATTCTTATGAGGATTCAAAAGAAATAAAAAAAAATCAAAAGCGACGCTGATTCGCAAAACGGTGAATTATGCAGCTGGAACATTCTAGAGATTTCTAACGATGCTCTGCTTGTCTGTTTGGTCACCAAGAAAACTCGACAAAAACAAAACTGGAAACTCGAAAATCGAAAATCACTAGCTAACAAAATGAAGAAAACAGAACTGAACGAAGCCTAATCAATCATACTTCATTTATCTTGTCTTCGTTGTTTCTCAGCAACCAAACAGAGTAAAAAACCGAAGAAATGATAAGAAAGAAATGCATTCACCTGATGAAACAACCGAAAAAATATGCTCTCTCTTGTCGTTGACACGAACTTAGATGACCATCAACGAACCTTAGGGAAGAAAAAAGAAACGAAAAAGCGAGATTTAGAGTAGCAAGGAAATCTTGCTTTCAATGCTCTGGAGAATATAACGAAAATATACCTTTGAAGGGATCGAGAACGAGGAGGCGGGGGAAAAAAAGAAAAACAGACGGGATTTTCCTTTTGGTTTATTATTGTGACAGAGAAAAGCGGATCTGTCACTTATCGGCGAACGCAATCTTTTAAGAGTCTGAGCTGGAATTTTGGTGAATGATTTTGGGCAATTAAAGGAATAACGAAAATCGAAACGTGGAAGGAAGTGAGTTTCTTTAAAAGAAAAAACTTTGTTTTGATTATTGTTGGTTGAAAAATCTTAGCTAGGAATCATTTATTTGTCCAATTACGAGAGAGAGAGAGAGAGAGAGACGGCTTTATATGGATTCTGTTTAGTCTTTCTTTTTTTTTTTCTCTCTTTCTCTCTCTCGTAGAGCAGGAAGAAAGAGGTCTCGCGGCGCAAATACCAGTAACTTTTTTGGTTGTTTTCTAATATTTTTTATATAGAAAAAGACACATTAATCTTATTTTTTAATAATAAATTATTAAATTAAATAGATAGAATACTAAAAATTTAATAGTTAATTAATTATAATTAATTAGTAAATATCATGTAATGTTGAAAGCAATTCATTAACATGTTAGAAATTATTTATTATTTTACATTACATAATATTGTAGTTGCTTATTAACATATTATATGAGATGATAATGATGATATAATCATGTGATTATTTCATTATTGATATTAATATAAAAAAATAAATAATATTTTTAATTAATAATAATTAATTTTAATTATATAAATATATTTAATTTAAAATAAAAATATAAAAATTAATTAAATATAACACAAAATAAAAAATATTTTTAAAAATAATTTAAAAACTTTTTACAAAATTATGTTATATTTCTATCTTTTTATTACTTAACAACTTCTTAACTTCCCGTTTCTCGTAAGTTCCCAAAATTTTAGTTGCTTGTAAATTTGTAATATTTCATTCTTCCTTATCCATTTAGCAGCAATAACTTGGCATTTTTCATATAATAATTTAAATAAAAGTTTTTGAATGGAAAACTTTTTTCTAAATAATAAGCAATGAACAAAAATAATCCCCTCCATATTTTTTTCCTCCTCCCTGCATATGAAAAAGGTTCTTTAATTCTTAATTAAAAGAAAAAAACAATGTAAGGAAAATTAGTTGCTTAAAATCTATTTGTTTTGAGTCAATTGACCACTGCACAAATCAAATTGATCTGTATCCTTATTTGGAAAAAATCTACCTTAATCACAGGGCAGGTACATGATATGATATGACATGTACCTATAATATGCAGTTTTCTGATTTTCTTTTTCCTAATATGACATGTACCTTAATCATTGAAATTTCGATAGCTTGACTTATATCTCCTAGTATTTTTTTCCAAAAATTACACGAGGAGTTGAAATTAATGAATTATCTTGCTCCCAGTTTTTCAAAGTCTGTAATGGTAATTTGAGTAATAAAAAGTATGATACAATTTTTCACATTTAATATATTCAAGCCAAATATAATTAAGCTTGTAAGACTTAAATCTGGTTCAGTCATGCTCATCTTCATTAGTATTACTACCTAACCTGTGGAAATTATTAAATCAGGTTAATCATGATCCATAAAATGAAAGGAATTATTGCCAATATTTGTCAAGATAAAGATAATTATACAGGTGGACTTACTTGACGTGTGTAATGGATCAAGGTTTTTAACTTCCAAATTTTATCCGAAATATATTCTAAAAACAAAAGGACAAAAACATTGCGTAGGAACTTATTCATCTTAATAATCATTTGGTTTAAGAACGAGGAAAAGCTTCTCGAAGGAATATCAAGAAATGAAAAGGAGAAAAAGAGCGAGGGCCGAAGGGACAAGAGAGTTATCATTTTTCTCTTGTCAAATCCGGAATAATTACTTATAAAATTTTTAACGCTATAGATACTAATTTGATTTAGTATCAATAATGTAATAAAAAAATTAATGGGATTGTATATTAGTTCTAACCAATTACATAAACGATATGTTTATTTATTATATTATTAGAAAAATTTTATGTCAAATTCAAAATTATATATAAAAATGAGTATATCATTTCATTCTTTCAATATACATAAAAAAACTACAATTCAGAATTATCTCTTGCATATAATATAACAATATCTGAATTCTACAAATTTCTTTTAAATTATGTATTGTTTGATTATCTTTTGTTTTTGAAAGCCGGAGGTAACATATGTGTTTAGATATAAGAGTAAATATACTTTTTAATTATATTTAAAACTAAAAAATTAGTCTCTGTGATGATAAAATGTAAAAGGTTTTATGTGGACCAATTATATATTTTTTAAATTATATGAAACAATTATATTTGAATATCGTACTCACCTGTCACATTGTAATCAAAGATGATTATTAATGGATGCCCATATTTATACTAATACGAGGATAAAGTTTTTCTATGTTTATTACTTATTGTTATCATAAAAAAATAAAAAATGGATAAAAATTTTACTTATTTGATCCCTTTTCTTTAGATTTTTATACAATTTTAATGGGGTCAATGGAAGAAAGTTACAAAAAAAATTTCCTTATATATAAACATAATTTTTCTAAAATTGACCCTACTCAACTCAACATAGCATGCCCTTGTTTAGTCTAATTTTATTTTAGTTTATTTAGTTATTTCCTTTATTTATTAATATCTCCTGTAAATGTAATACAAGATATATATAAGTTATTTGATTATAATTAAATTATTTACTGATAATTATGATCTCATAAAACTATAATTTCAAACTTAGAAATAGTAAAATGTTCAAAAAATGCATGACTGCTTTAGTCCTTCTACTATAGTCTCTATATCTCATTAAATAATGTGCCGCAGTTTTAAGTAATCTTGTTTAATCAGGCTTTTCATATTTTAACCTTTTTTATTTTCAATTTATTATCAAGGAAAATTAAAAATACTTTTTAAAAATTATTTGTGTTGGTGTGTTTTTAAAATTAAAGATTATGTCATATAATAAAAAGTTATATTAACTCAAAGATTATGTCACATAAAGTGATATAGTGTATCTATTATATTATAGGTAGATTTTTATGTAAATAGTTATATCTCTTAATAAAATTACATCCAAAAATTATAAGACATATTGAAAAGACATTATACATTAAAAGTTAAATATGAAAAGTTATTGTTTTAAATTATAACTAAAATATTATAATTTATGGAAAGCGTAGTTGTTATGATTATTGAAACAATATATTTATTCAAAAGTTATGTTTAAAATGCCTTATAGATAAAATGATGCCTTAATGAAAAGGTTATGTAATTGAAAATGAGATATTTACAAGCTTATATAAATAGTTTGTTACTAACCATTTTGACACAATAAAAAAAAATCAAATACAAAACAATAACAAGAAAATCAATAGCAAGAAATTGTTGTGTTCTGTTAACATAAACACTTAAAATCCCATCAATTAAAAAAAATTTAAATTTTTTATAATTTATTTATTACAAAAAGTAAGTTTTAAAGTTAAATAACGTTGTAAACCCTCTGGTGTATTTAACGGTTTAATTTTATGAAATGCAAGACGAAGTTAGACGTGAAATTCATTGTATTCCTATAACTATTTATATTATTCCTTTTTATATACCGGAAGACGAAATAAATATTTAAGAATAGCATCTATTTAAAAACTCATATTAAAGTCAATTTTATCTAATTTTTTGAATTCTATCTAAATCTAATTTACACCAACAATTTGATTCATGTTTTTATATTTTAAAATATAATTTATTAAATATATTACATCGAAATAAAAATATTATTAAAAAACATAAAATAGTACACATAACATGCAAATAGAGGCAAAGTCAAACGATCGAATCACGTTATCATGTCGCCTGACTACTGTACTAGTAATTTGTCGCCAGACCACGATTACCACTTTTTCTTCTCTTCTTTTTTTCTTTTCTTTTTCCTTTAAATGCATTCAAGGCATGCAGGGGTGCTTTTTTGGACGGATTCCATTCAAATTTTTGAGAAAAAACAAATTCCAGTTAGATGGGCATTTGCATTTCCATAACACTGAAAAAAAACAACAATAAAACATCAAAGTATCTAAGTAATTATGGAAGAATCCAAAATGATTGGTAAATGTATTATTATAAAAACAAGAATGATCGATCTTTGATCCTATATATAAAATTCAGCATATATATATATATATTAATTTTAAGGCATGAAAATATTTGAACTCAGTCTATCATTTCAAAAAGTATAATTCCAAAATATTATTTTACCGTTGGTTCCCTCATGTCTAAAGTTAATTGAATTAATTTATTAATCTATACAATTCTCTTCTTGTCTGCTCATATGGAAGGCAAAAAGATGACTTTAAGTGAAGGACTTTTTCCTTCCGTACTAATAGTAAAATCCACTCAATCGTGTTCTTGGTAACAAAGTCATCAAACATGGAGATGATTAATAATAAAATCCACTAATAGAAAACCACTCCAAAATTACAATATAACATAACTTCTTCATGTGATACTATTTACTATATTATTTTTTTTTGAAAAGTGCTATTTACTATATTGTTAACATATACTCCCCTATTTATATATATATTAAGGGGGTAATTGGTATATATATATTTGAATGGTATAAGGGGAAAAGTGCAAAAATATTAAAAAAGAGACCGATAAAATTATAGCTATCCCACATCATATAGAGATTTAAGTAATTTAGCCACATAAAAACGACAAACTGCCTTAGTTTTTTGTACTGCTATATAACTTTCAGTTTAATATACACGTAACATGTGTGAACATGACTGTATATATTGTTATGATTTGACATGGCACCATACGTACTACATGTTGTCGACATTAAATAATTAGACCAAGATCCAAAACGCACGAAAATAATATCAAAATTGAATAGGTAAGCAATATCGGAAAAGGATGTGATGCGGATGTAAAACATGACATTGCCCCACGAACTACAAAAAAAATAATTTAATAGCCCAGAGTATAACAAAACTCATAAAACAATTGTCACTGTTTTTGTTTTTGTTTTTGTATGCTAAAAGTCTTTGGGGTCGCCCCTTTTTGCCACGTGACATCTGGCCTTTACAGCCATGCAATTTGCTAATGATGATTGCTAATTTGCTGTCACAGCGAAAGAGATCAATTAATGTCGACTATTAGGACGTTCTTTTTTTTTTCATTTAATAAATATTTTTTAATTAAAAAAATTGAATTCAGGACATTTTAGTCTCTCAATAATAATGATAATAAATCCCAAGTCATAATTGAAAACGCCGTAACGAGATTGAATGATTAATTATTTTGAAGCAAATCTAATGTCTTC